TAGTAGGTATAGTGGCCAGTTAGGATGTCATACCTTCCACATGACTTTCTACAAATAAATACTTTTCACCCCTCACCCTACATTAAGACCATTAACCCTTTGACTGTTTCGGTCGTATATATACGTCTTACGAGCCACAGTGTTTGACGTATTATATATACTCATAAATTTTAACGTCTTCAAATCAAGCAAGAGAAAGCTGGTAGGCCCACATGTGAGAGAATGGGTCTGTGTGGTCAGTGTGCACCATATAAAAAAATCCTGCAGCACGCAGTGCTTAATGAGAAAAAAAAAACTCCAGCCATTTTTTTTAATTAAAATGCCAACTTTGTGGTCTATTTTCATATAGTATCTGTGGTTGTATTCTCGTTTTCTTGGTCTCATTTGATAGAATGGAAAACATATTATAGAAATAGAGGTGATTTTGATTGGTTTTACTATGAAAAGAACCTTGAAATGGAGCTCAAAGTAGGAGAAATATTTGATTTTTACCAATGTTCAAAAGTAAACAAATGATGTCATTTACCAATAAATGTCCAAGTAGCCATTCTGATATGCAGTCATTAATAGGTTGACATTATTTATACAATTATTACAATATTGCAGTAGTCTGCATAACAGTAAATCTTCTATTTTTTGTTTGAATAAAAATTAAAAATAGAAAGCAAGAGTAATATCAGAGGGGCCTGGAGATGTGACTGATGAACAAAGAAAATGTTATTTTAGAGCCAGGAATGTCTGCATTGTTCATTCTGGACCCTATTTTGAAACTGTCATATTTTTTAATTTTTGTGAAATTGGCCAAATTGCAAATTTCTGACCACATTATTGGGTAGTTGAAATCGGTAAATGGGCAGTTTCTTGTACTCAGTTGATAGGAAAAAATGGAGTTCTAAAGAAATAGCTATGAGTTTGGTCGACTGGAACAATGGAATTAGCCGAAAATAAGGCTCAAAGTGGGCGAAATCGCAGATTTATAAATGTTGCCGAGGTCGCTAAATTCGTGAGAGTGTAATTCCGTCAGTTTTCCATCATATTGGGTAGTTGAAATAGGTATATAGGTGGTTTCTTGTACTCAATCGACAGAATAAAAGGGCATTAAGTGGGTGAAATCACCGATGCATAAATATCGCCGTTGAGTTAAGTGTATTCTAACCTAACCACTCAGTAATCTGGCAAAATCACTAATCTGGCACCCAACAGGTCTTGTTGGTGCCAGATTAGTGATGGTCAACCTGTCATAGTATGTCATTGATGTCAGATAGACCTATATACCTTGTACTGTACAGTGGACCCTCAGTTAATGCCTTTAATCCGATCCAGAGAGCTAGGCTTTAACTGATTTAGCTTTTAACCGAATTAATTTTCCCCATAAGAAATAATGGAAATCCAATTAATCCGTTCCAGACATCCAAAAGTATTAGGCAAAATCCTTTTTTTTTACATGAAATATACTTTTCCCTACACAGAAAGCAATGATACATGCACAATAAACATTACTGAAATGACACTTACCTTTATTGTGTAATTGTTGATGAGTGATGAGACGGTAGGAGGGCAGATGATGTAGGTGTTCTATTGTTTGGAAGGGGAATCCCCTTCCATAAAGACTTCAGGTAACAAGTCTTTTTCTGGGGTTACCTCCCTTCTTTGTTTTATAATGCCACTAGGACCAGCTTGAGAGTCACTGGACTCCTGTCACGCAAAATATCTGTCCAGAGAGCTCTGTTTCTCGCATCCCTTTAAGATTTCCCTAAAATGGGCCACAAGAGTGTCATTGTACAAGTTGCCAATACGGCTTGCAACAGCTGTGTCAGGATAATATTCATCCATAACTGCTTGCAGCTTTGTGAACATTGTACACATTTCCTTAATCTTTGACGAAGGCAACTTCCTCCATCTCTCTTCCTCCTCCTCTGAAGGAAATCCCTGAGCTTTGGTCTGTTGCTGTTGCACCTGAAGCTCTTGGAACTCTGTAGTGGTTAGCTCTTTATCGGTGTCCTCCACCAACTCTTCCACATCCTCGCCACTAACCTCCAACCCCATGGACTTCCCCAATGCCACAGTAGATTCCACAACTGGCATAGGCTCCTTAGGGTCAGCCCCAAACCCTTCAGAATCCCTCTCTTGTACACATTGTGGCCACAGTTTTCTCCAAGCAGAGTTCAAAGTCCTGGAAGTCACTCCCTCCCAAGCCTTACCTATAAGGTTTATGCAACTGAGGATACTGAAATGATCTTTCCAGAACTCTCTTAGGGTCAATCCAGTGTCTGAGGTCACTTCAAAGCACTTTTGAAACATTGTTTTGGTGTACAGTTTTCTGAAATTTGAAATGATCTGCTGGTCCATGGGCTGGAGGAGAGGAGTGGTATTAGGAGGCAAAAACTTCACTTTGATGAAGCTCAACTCCCCCGCAATTTGCTCTTGCAAGTCGTGAGGATGAGCAGGAGCATTGTCCAATACCAGGAAGCACTTGAGGTCCAATTTATTTTCCAGGAGGTACTGTTTCACAGTGGGGCCAAACACGTCATAGAACCAGTCAATAAACATGTCTCTAGTGACCCATGCCTTACTGTTTGCTCTCCACATCACACACAATTTAGTCTTGACGATATTGTTTTTCTTGAACACTCTACGAGTTTCAGAGTGATACACGAGTAAAGGTTTCACTTTGCAATCCCCACTAGCATTACTACACAACATTAGAGTTAGCCTGTCTTTCATAGGCTTGTGTCCTGGGAGTGCCTTTTCCTCCTGAGTAATGTAGGCCCTGTTTGGCATTTTCTTCCAAAACAGGCCTGTTGCGTCACAATTAAATGCTTGTTGGGGTTTTAATTTTTCAGTGTCTATGTACCTCTTAAAGTTTTGCACATATTTTTCAGCCACTTTTTTGTCAGAACTGGCAGCCTCACCATGCCTTATCACGCTGTGTATGCCACTACGATTCTTAAATCTCTCAAACCAGCCTTTGCTGGCCTTAAATTCATCAACAGCAGTGCTATTTGGAGGCATTTTCTTAATGAGATCCTCATGCAACTGCCTTGCCTTGTCACATATTATTGGATGAGAAATACTATGTCCTGATAATTGTTTCTCATTTATCCACACCAACAACAGTCTCTCCACATCTTCAAGTATTTGTGATCTCTGTTTTGTAAGCACACTTGCACCTTTTGCAACAACAGCTTCCTTGATTGCCTTTTTGTTGCACAAGATAGTAGTGATGGTTGAATGGGGTTTGTTGAATAACTTTTCCAACTCCGAAATACGCACTCCACTCTTGTACTTTTCTATTACAGTGGACCCCCAGTTAACAATATTTTTTCACTCCAGAAGTATGTTCAGGTGCCAGTACTGACCGAATTTGTTCCCATAAGGAATATTGTGAAGTAGATTAGTCCATTTCAGACCCCCAAACATACACGTACAAACGCACTTACATAAATACACTTACATAATTGGTCGCATTCGGAGGTGATCATTATGTGGGGGTCCCCTGTATCTCCTTTTTTAATTCGATAGTACACCTCACCCCTTTTACCACAGGGTTGGCTCTAGAAGCTTTCTTGGGGCCCATGGTGGCTTATTTAGCAGTTAGAAGCACAAAAAACACTGGAATAATACAAAATATATCACATGTTCGCGTGGAACCGTCCTCAGTGGCTTGTAAACAATCGCACACATGTTCAGGACAAAAGCTCCTAATCGAGTTTTTAGGTGTTATCCAAGCCGATTTTTTTTATGCCAAAGCGAGGCGTTATCTGATTTTGGCTCTATCCGATGTAGGATAGGGTCTACTGTACATGTAGAAATAGATATAGTTGCAGTGGAACTCTGGTTTTCGCACGCTTCAGTTATCAGATTTCAGTTTTAGGACCGTTTTTTGTGCGAAATTTTATTCTGGATATTGGACCCTGATCCGGTAATTGTACGTTTGCCCGCCTGGGGATGCCACCACTACGCATCTCAGTCTGCCTCTGTCACTGGTCGAGTGAGCATTACTTCACACATTCCAAAACATTTTGTAATAATCCCTTGTTTTTGGTGCTTATTTATTATGACTGCAAAATAAGTCACCATGGACCCAAAGAAAATTCCTAGTGCCAGCCAACCTTTTGGTAAAGGGCTGAGAGAGAGGGGAGAATGTGCTTTCTTCAGTGATTCTACGATGTGTATGATACTAAAGCACCAGGAGCCGATAAAGGCTATAGCGCCAGCCAGCGATAAAGTGTTGCATTAACAGCGTAGCAGGTAAGTTAATCGATTAAGCGATAGAAAAATGATGACACAAAACTGACTCCTCCATTGTTGTTTGAGGTATACAGGGCCACTGACAACACCGCCACCACCACCAACACTGTATGTATGGCTTATGCTGTATTATTATTTTTATACACTTATAAATTTTGAGCGAAAAAGATAAACAACCTTTGTACAGGTACTGTTTTTCTATATGAATTTTCATCAGATTACGAGGGTTATTTGTGTATAGTACACTATTGTAGTCTTAATGATGTATGGCATAACACTGTTCTCTCATTTATTAGCTTTAATTTTGCCTGGAAATCTGTGCATACCATGAATTTGATAGAAAATACTTGTTTCTAGCAAATTTTCTTTGCCAAATACAGTTTTTATTGGCACGCTGGCTGTTTCTTACCAAGGCAAGGTAACCTAAAGAAGGAAACATTTTCACATCACTCATTCATTAGCTCCTCCCAGAAGTACACATAAATCACAATTCAGATGTGCCTCTGAAGTGCAAAGGATATTTCTCATTTTGAATAATGTTTGGTTTTATTGAAGCTGTATATTGATTGTTTTACTCATCATTACTAAATTGCCAGAATTTTCCATATTATCTATCCTAGTGGATGCTGTTGTGCATTAATGTTTTGTACTTCCTGTTCAAGAAGATTGAATTTTTAATTTGGAAATACAGTATTTATAAAGGTAAGACTGCACACTCTAAATTGTCTGTTTAATGTTGGTATTTGCAGGAGCATTGTATGTGGAGCATTGTACTGTGGAACGTATCATGACTGATGAAGTGCCACACTCTCAAATTATCCCTCGGGTCACCCATATTGTAACTTCACAAGGAACTATCCACTGTGAATATTTTGTCAATGCATCTGGGATGGTATGTAACATATTCCTTTGCTTCTATACCATCATGAAGATAATATAAACTAAGTTTTAGTTCTGTATTAATTTGTACTTAAAGGTTTTCTTCTTTTATTCTTAGTAAGCTGTACGGGAAAAGGGGTTACTAGTCTATTGCTACTAGCATTTTAGTTGACTTTTACAACACACATGGCTTACGGAGGAAAGATTCTTATTCCACTTCCCCATGGATATGAAAGGAAAATAATAAGAACAAGAACTATTAAAAAAAAAAAAAACTGATCAGTGTGTAAATATAAATGTGTACCTGTATGTGTAGTGTGACCTAATTGTAAGTAAAAGCACAAAGATATACAGTGGACCCTCGGATAAAGGCTTCATTGGTTAGCACCAAAATCAGCTAACGGCTCGCTTTGGCACAAAAATATTGGCTTGGATAACGCAAAATAACTCGGTTAAGGGCTTTCGTCCCGAATGTGCCCGCATGGCCTGAGCAGGGCCTGGCCACTCACTCCATGTACAGCCAGTATGTGATATTGTTTACAAAGCCAGTGAGGATGATTCCACGCATACATGCGACATATTTTGTATTATTCCATTGTTTTTAGTGCTTGTAACTGCTAAATAAGCCACAATGGGTCCAAAGAAAGTTCTAGTGTCAGCCCTGTGATAAAGAAGGAAAGAAACACAATAAAATTCAAGGAAAAACTCATAGCTACATTCCCTGCATGCCTGCTACACTCCCTGCATGCCTGCTACACTCCCTGCATTCCTGCTACACTCCCTGCATACCTACTACACTCCCTGCATGCCTGCTACACTCCCTGCATACCTACTACACTCCCTGCATGCCTGCTACACTCCCTGCATAACTACTACACTCCCTGCATACCTGCTACACTCCCTGCTACACTCCCTGCATGCCTGCTACACTCCCTGCATACCTGCTACACTCCCTGCATACCTACTACACTCCCTGCATGTCTGCTACACTCCCTGCATACCTGCTACACTCCCTGCATACCTGCTACACTCCCTGCATGCCTGCTACACTCCCTGCATACCTGCTACACTCCCTGCATACCTGCTACACTTCCTGCATACCTGCTACACTTCCTGCATACCTACTACACTCCCTGCATTCCTACTACACTCCCTGCATACCTGCTACACTCCCTGCATGCCTGCTTATTCCCTGCATGCCTGCTCAACTCTCTGCGTGCCTGCTACACTCCTTGCATGCCTGCTACACTCCCTGCATGCCTGCTACACTCCTTGCATACCTGCTACACTCCCTGCATGTCTGCTACACTCCCTGCATACCTGCTACACTCCCTGCATACCTGCTACACTCCCTGCATACCTGCTACACTCCCTGCATGTCTACTACACTCCCTGCATACCTGCTACACTCCCTGCATACCTGCTACACTTCCTGCATGCCTGCTACACTCCCTGCATGCCTGCTACACTCCCTGCATACCTATTACACTCCCTGCATGCCTGCTACACTCCCTGCATACCTACTACACTCCCTGCATGCCTGATACACTCCGTGCATACCTGCTACACTCCCTGCATACCTGCTACACTCCCTGCATACCTGCTACACTTCCTGCATACCTGCTACACTCCCTGCATGTCAGCTACACTCCCTGCATACCTGCTACCCTCTCTGCATACCTGCTACACTCCCTGCATGCCTGCTACACTCCCTGCATACCTGCTGCACTCCCTGCATGCCTGCTACACTCCCTGCATATCTGCTACACTCCCTGCATACCTGCTACACTTCCTGCATATGTGCTACACTTCCTGCATACCTACTACACTCCCTGCATACCTACTACACTCCCTGCATACCTGCTACACTCCCTGCATGCCTGCTACACTCCCTGCATGTCCTAGAGTGTTCAAGAAAAACAATATCTCATCTCATCACTCATCAACAAGTCCACAATAAAAGTAAGCATCATTTCAGTATTGTTTATTGTGCATGTATCATTGTTTTCTGTGTAGGGAAATGTATAATTCATGTAAAAGAAGATTTTATTTAATACTTTTGGGTATCTGGAACAGATTAATTGGATTTCCATTATTTCTTATGGGGAAAATTAATTCAGCTAAATTCTAAATCGGTTAAAGGCTGGTTCTCTGGAACTGATTAAAGGTGTTACACAAATGACCCGCACATAAAAGAGAGAAGCTTACGACGACGTTTCGGTCCGACTTGGACCATTGACAAAGTCACACTTTGTGTATCGTTTCAGTCACGGTGTCCCCTCAAGGAAGGTTCCTTGATGTTGGTGAGGGGCTCTTGATTTAGGGAATTGGATCTGTGCTCCAGTTCCCCGAATTAAGCCTGAATGCCTTCCACATCCCCCCCCCAGGCGCTGTATAATCCTCCGGGTTTAGCGCTTCCCCCTTGATTATAATAATAATAATCAGTCACGGTGTTGTGCCTTCTTTTGTTATTTATAAAGGCGTTACCCTAGGGTCCACTGTACCTGTTATCTTGTGTATTTTTTTTTCACCAAACCAGCTATATCCTAGCAAGGCAAGGTGACCTAAAAAGAAAAATGAAAGTTTCTCTTTTTAAATTTAGTATTGTATGCAGGAGAAAGCGTTATGAGCCTCTTGCTCCTGGCATTTTAGTCACCTCTTACGACACACATTGCTTATGGAGGAAGAATTCTGTTCCACTTCCCCATGGATATAAGAGGAAATAAACAAGGACTAGTAAGAAGATGAAGAAAACCCATAGGGGTGTATGTACAGTAGGGCCCCACTTATTTGGCAGGTTAGGTTCCAGGCTACTGCTGGAAAGCAGATTTCTCCAGAAAGCAGAACTCCATTTTTTCCATTTATAAATGCATATAAATGCCAGATAACAAGTTTATACTAATATATATTAAGTTAGCAATAGAACTCATTATTTACCTTAAAATATTTGTAGTCTTAATGTAGGGCAAAAGGCGAGTAGTATTTACTCTAAGAAGTCAGGTGTGGTAGCCCTCCTGGCCACCCCACCCACACATACTATACTACGATGCTTAAAGATTCCTAGAGTGATCTTAATGTAGGATGAGAGGCGAGTTTTATTTGTATGTAGTCAAGTTGGGAAGTATGGGTAGCCAGGAGGGGCAGCCCTCACCACCCCATCCCACTCACACATAATGTAAACAAACCAGACGAAGGCGTCTGGTTTTCGTTACATTATATTGTGTACAAATTGTCTCCAAGTTGATACAGTAGAATAAATAAAGAGAAACACTCCCATTCTCATGTAACACCATTTTTAGAAGAAAGGACACCATGAGTGAAGGCATATGAAAGGAATAATTTTCTAGTTACCCCCAGTAATTTTATAGTGACACATTTTCTCTGATGTTGGACTACAATTTGCCTGGCTACCACAAATCCTACAAGTTGCCTAGCTACCACAAGTCCTACAAGTTGCCTGGCTACCACAAGTCCTGTAATAAAGTTGGTAGAATTACCGACAATATGTAAAGTAAAAGGACACAAGTGCAACTAATGTGACATTTTATGTGGCAATGTTTCGCTCTCCAGGAGCTTTGTCAAGCCGTAACGGCTTGACAAAGCTCCTGGAGAGTGAAACGTTGCCACATAAAATGTCACATTAGTTGCACTTGTGTCCTTTTACTTTACATACTGTGGCGGCCTCCTGCCAAACTAGTGGTTCGATTGTTAACCTGCCGGCCTGCAGTACCACTGGGTACATCACCAAACCCAATGTGGGGACTGCTGAGCCGGCCTTAGAAGCAGTACTTACCAGACCACCTTACGGTATACATCTACTGGCAGTAGACAGTATTCACCTGACCACCTATGGTGTATATCTACTGGCCTTAGAAGCAGTACTTACCAGACCACCTTACGGTATACATCTACTGGCTGTAGACCGTATTCACCTGACCACCTACGGTGTATATCTACTGGCCTTAGAAGCAGTACTTACCAGACCACCTTACGGTATACATCTACTGGCAGTAGACAGTACTCACCAGACCACCTTACGGTGTACATCTACTGGCCTTAGAGAGTATTTACAAGACTACCTCAAGGAGTACAATTGTAGGTGATGTCTACGGACTCACCACCGACGCTAGTCAACTGCGGGCCAAGTCATGCTGACACTGTTGTAGTGTGGCACTGAATGAAGATAGGGTCGGAGTTTTTTTTTTTTTATTATCACACTGGCCGATTCCCACCAAGGCAGGGTGGCCCAAAAAAGAAAAACTTTCACCATCATTCACTCCATCACTGTCTTGCCAGAAGGGTGCTAGACAGTGATGGAGTGAATGATGGTGAAAGTTTTTCTTTTTTGGGCCACATAAAATGTCACATTAGTTGCACTTGTGTCCTTTTACTTTACATACTGTGGCGGCCTCCTGCCAAACTAGTGGTTCGATTGTTAACCTGCCGGCCTGCAGTACCTCTGGGTACATCACCAAACCCAATGTGGGGACTGCTGAGCCGGCCTTAGAAGCAGTACTTACCAGACCACCTTACGGTATACATCTACTGGCAGTAGACAGTATTCACCTGACCACCTATGGTGTATATCTACTGGCCTTAGAAGCAGTACTTACCAGACCACCTTACGATATACATCTACTGGCAGTAGACAGTATTCACCTGACCACCTACGGTGTATATCTACTGGCCTTAGAAGCAGTACTTACCAGACCACCTTACGGTATACATCTACTGGCTGTAGACCGTATTCACCTGACCACTTATGGTGTATATCTACTGGCCTTAAAAGCAGTACTTACCAGACCACCTTACGGTATACATCTACTGGCAGTAGACAGTACTCACCAGACCACCTTACGGTGTACATCTACTGGCCTTAGAGAGTATTTACAAGACTACCTCAAGGAGTACAATTGTAGGTGATGTCTACGGACTCACCACCGACTCTAGTCAACTGCGGGCCAAGTCATGCTGACACTGTTGTAGTGTGGCACTGAATGAAGATAGGGTCGG